TGTTGTGAAACTCACTTCCGAAAAATAATTTTGTAATGGCTGAAATCTTATAAATTATCAAATTATTATAAGTTAAGAAAAACATACTCGGACCACACTAAGTAAGTGCTGAAATATCAAGCTTTGGAAAATTCTTGCAGATTTTTGTCACGACCTCTTAGATTCTAATGCCTTATCAAATCTCTGCGGTAACGCCGTGTGTGGCAGGTTTATTTAAATTGTAGACCGTATGTAACGCTGCAGAAGTTAAGAGTTTAATGTATATTACCCATTAATGCACTTGGAGGAAAAAGTGCAATAATATCTAGTTAAAAATGTTTCTGCGACCTTCATATGTTCGTGCAGTCCTTGCAGTGGGCCAGCGTCAAGATTTATATTGAACCACAACACCGTGGCTCAACAGCACGTCATGTTATACAAATCGGACTTTTGCCACTTCATTATAAACTTTAATGTTTTTTTTTGGTAGAAATTAAAATGAACTGGAGATGACAAATTGTGGTAATCTGACATGCAGCTGTGTGTACAATAAATTAAATATCAATATATATATATATATATATATATACATATATATATATATGATATATGATATATATATGATATATATATATATATATATATATATATATATATGTATATATATTTATAATTTGCGAAACACCATTCTCTGTCCCTTTCTATTGCATTGATTGCATTGATTTTATCTCGTTTTCATTCTCGTTTATCGTTATGTTCGTTCGTGTTAAAGGTAGAGTCCATTAAAATAACCTCTTTCTTATTCGTAGAGATTCAATAACATAACACCGTTTTTTTTTCTAAAACTAATACAACTAGAAGCATTTCCCAGTAAATCAGTAAGTATGCATCAAAAGTCTAAATGCATAATATAAAGAGTAAAAATAAACTGTTTAAAAGAGTAATAAGATTTTATTTTATTGAAACTCTTTGCCGTGACAGCACTGGATGTATTTTAACAAAGTAACATAGTTATAACGTAGCAAACTTCAGTTTTTGAAGCTTAAGCCGCTTTACAATAACGGAAGTGGCATCACATTAAATAAATAAAATTATCTTATAATTCCATATTTACCGTAATCATTGTTATGAAAAGATTTTTATCAACGTAGTAACAGTATTTCAATACCTACTAGCAATTAGAATTATTCGTCTTATCGCGGGGTGTGCCACGTGCAATGGACGTCATATTACAATAGCAGGTAAACAATTTATGAAAAGTAATAAAGAAAGACTTTCTTTATATAACATCATTAACAATATAGGTGGAGACAGTACATAAAAGAAAATAAATACATATTATTTTTCTCCTGGTAAGTAGTGTTTCATAATATTGCTGTTATTAATAATGAAAAAATATATATATTATAAACTTGATGTCACGTGACCGTAAACAGCGCGTGACGTCACGCCCTTCTTACTCATATCAGAACATAGAGTTCAATGCATGCTTAAAACGTTATAAGTTTCAGAGGGCCGTGACGTCATAGTGATACCATAACAGAAGTGGCGGTTACGCGGGAAATTTTGAAAATAACATTTTAGTTTTTAGATTTCAACTTATTATATGAATGGTACTTTTCCCAATATTTTTTAGATATATTTCATGTACAACATTTATGGATGATTAAGGAGGATGGGCTATGGATTGGATTGGAGGGTATTAACGACTGATTTGCAGCCTCCTGAAGCACGGAGAAGCTCGAGTTAATAATTTTATAGTCACCCATCCCGTGGCAGACCTTTGCATAAGTTGCTTAACAACAGAGATCACTGGCTACAACACTTATCCTCTACGCCATCGCTACTTACTTATCTTTAAAAAAATATATAAAATAAGTTTATTGTAATCGAACGTTCTAAAAATAAATTAAGTAAATGTTAACTATAATTCAAACATCTTAACATTTCATAACCCAATATTTTTAATTACTATGATAACAGTACTTTTTATATTACGAACACATGTATACATCCCGTTACCGATAAGAACAACTTGTAAGACGATTCTTTATTTATAAAAAATTACGTCACAGAAAAGCGATCAAGTGCGAGTCGGAGTCGCGCGAGAAAGATTCCGTAGCATTATCCATTAAAAAAGTAAAAATAACACGTTCGTTGTTTTCTATGGAGCTGTTCGAAATTTTCGAGTTAAATACCTATAATTAGTCGACTATTACTCATAAACTACTAAAACTAACTTAAGCGTAATAATTTTCTCTTTAACTACTGCCGTAACGTTTGAATTTTTACCAACGTTTTTTAAAGGGGTTGGACACTTGACTTACGAAAATTAGCTCAAACGAAAATCAGGCTTCCCAAACCCCCAACGTTTTAAAAAACCTATGCAGCGAGGAGCCAAAAAAAATATAGTAGGGTAAAAAGAGAATGATATTTTTTTCGTAAAGCGAGGTAAGCAAAAATTTTTTTTCGAAATTTTACTTTAGAACTTTGTTGGCGCGATTACCGTAATAGTAGCGTTGATGACTAAACCGCGGACGGGTGGACGGATGGACATGGTGTAACTATAAGAGTTCCTTGTATGCTACGGGAAAAAATTATGAATTTATAAGACAAAATTAACAATGTTACTAGTAACAACTCAGTTAAGCAGTTAATTGCTTTTCACACAGCTCAAATTGTAAAGCTGACTGAAGGTTAAGGATTTATAATACTTTTACTCTAACTATCGTCCATACTCTTACACTCGTATCTATATTTCAATTCTGTTCAACTTCTACTATAGTCGAGTAGAAGTTGAATTGAATAAAAAAACTTAAGCAAATATTTTTTTTTAACAAAAGGAATTAACAAATTAACCTGAACTCTAATGCATTAACGACTCTCAAAAGTTATAATTAGCTATTTATTATTAGCTATTATTGACAGTTCTTACTTATTTAAAATTCTAAGTTAAATATATTTGCTTGATAACTCAAGACTCATACTCATATAATTATTTAAACACGAATATACAAGTTTTAAATCCATTTATGTGTCGTCTTGTGATGTATCAGAACCACGGATATACATAAACCATAGTCGCTAAAAGAAATATATACGTTTCAGTCTAATTTATGAAATCTAATTTACGTGACACTAAGGATTCTCCTTGCCCGACATATAGATGTATATCCGCCTTTAAAACATTCAAATTTGACATTATCGATGAGGGTTTAGTGTTGTTTAAATCAATTATTCAAAAATACTTATGAAAAAGCTTATTATAAAGTATCCACATATTGATAGATTGTCGAGTAGACTTAGCTCTGCAGCATATGCCGTAATGAAGATACGTAGGTTAACTGACATAGATACTGCCAGATTAGTATACTTCAGTTACTTTCATAGTGTTATGTCGTACGGTATCCTATTGTGGGGAAATGCTGCCAACATACAAACAATTTTTGTGCTTCAGAAAAGAGCAATTCGATCAATTTATAATCTTAGGATTAGGGACTCTTTTAAGGGAGAAATTTAAGGAAATAGACATTATGACTGTTGCTTCTCAATACATATACGAGAACTTAATGTACGTTCGTAAAAATATTAGTTTGTTTTCTATAAAAAGTGATGTACACAATTTTAATACAAGAAATAAAAATAAATTAACGGTGCCTGTCACTAAACTGCAAAAAGTTAATAACTCTTTCAAGGGTCTTTGTGTGCGCTTCTTCAATAAGGTCCCAAGCAAAATACAACAATTAGATATCATGCAGTTTAAATCTACTATTAAAAAAATACTTATTAAAAAATCTTATTATAAGGTATCCGATTATATAACAGATAAGAACGCTTGGACTTGAGATGATCCAGCAACTGGATAGGTGATTACTTCTAAACTCATTATCTTGTTTCCATTATTATTAAATGATTATGTTATTATTATAAGACCATATATATTTTTTTATCTCTGTATATAATGTATTGATCTGGTAATGACATGGTTTTTGTAAATGTCATTACTCATATTAGAGCTGGTGAGTTTCTTGCTCGTTCTTCTTATCAGCCAAAAGACGTCCTGAACGAGCGGTAGGGAAAAAATGTTGGACGATTCAAAAGTACTTTTAAGAAGTCTATTTGAATAAAGATTATTTTGACTTTGACTTTGACTTTGATCTGATTATATAAAGATAGCAACTGGATAGACGATTTCTTCTTAACTCATTATAAAAATTATCTTGTTGCCATTATTAAATTATTATGCTAACATTGTAAGATCATAGTTTTTTTTCCCTGTTAATATATTAGTCTGGTAATGACATGGTTTTGTGAATGTCGTTACTGCTATTAATTAGAGCTGGTGAGTTTCTTACTCGTTCTTTTTATCAGCCAACAACATCCTGAATGAGTGGTAGGGATATAATGCTGGACGATTCAAAAGTAATTTTATGAAGTATTTGATTAAATATAATTTTGACTTTGACTCTGTAGAATATCGATCAACATGTTTGAAATTCACTTCACCACCAGCCCTTTTACGTCCCCACTGCAGGGGCTCAGGCCTTCCTTATGGATGGTTAAGGAGGATGGGCCATGAACCTCCACGCTGGCCCAATGCGGATTGGAGGGTATTGACGACTGCAAATGCAGCCGGGACCAACGGCTTAACGTGCCTTCCGAAGCACAGTGTAGCTCGAGATTATAATTTTTTGGTCACCCATCACGTGACCGACCCTTGCGAAAGTTGGTTAACGACTACGATCGCGATAATAATTAAGTATAGCTAAAAAATAATAGCCAGTAATATTACTATTTTCATGATACCCATGGCAGCCTGTAAAGTAAACATAAATTCGTTTGAGTTTTAAATGTGATGTCCTGGAAAATGCGAACGCTGAATCCATTCCCCAGCTGAGACTTAGGTTTACGATGTCTCAAAACAGCTGATGCACTTTATGCGTTTTACGGTTTCACATTAAAATAAATTTGAAATATTCATAAAGAATATAATATTAAAAATACATTTTTCTTTGTTACAGAAACCATGTTGCAGTATTTGGCAATAATTAGCTTCCTAGCCTTTACTGGCGGATCTCAGGCTCTTCCTACGGGTAACGAAGTGGTACCAGACCAGGAGCTAGTGCTGGCTTTTGTTGTAAGTGCCAAAAAGGTTTTTTATCCATTATTCGATCCAAAGGTTATTAAAAATTTGAGATGGGTGCGAAGTAATCCAGATTAATGATTTAATTTACTAAAATTCATTCATTCATTTATAAGCGATAAAAAAAATACAATATTTATTATTCAATTCTGGGTTTTCCAAAATGTAATAATTAATACGTTTCACACAAATTAAATAAATTATTTCATCAAGGTAAAATTCAATATAAATATTAAACCTATTATTTCGACATGGAATTGCATGAGTAATGTTGTTAGCTATCGATAAAATAATCACTAATAATTTAAAATCCATAAATACTATCGATATTACCGAAGTATCGATGAACAAATAATTGAAATATATAGTTCATGCTAATCTCGCTACCTTGAAAAAATGTAAATGGCTTGGCAGAGAATAGTTTGTTCTGAATGATCTAACTTGTAATTAAAATAGCCTTCTGTTCTAGACAAAAAAAAAACGAAGACAAATAATTTTTATATGTGATTCTAGCTAGACCATATCCTAAAATCCGAACAATTTACAAACATAATATGCAACCTTGCCAATTATCAAACAGTTCAGAAAATACATTTAATATCACGTTTCCAAAGAATTCTCTGCTATATTTACATTTAGTGGTTCTCATACTCTTTTGACAACTAAATATTTATAAATAATTATCAATTAAAAAAAAAAACTAGTTTAATGTCTACTGTACTGTTAAATTATAATAAATTAGATGAGTCAACTTCAACAAACAAAATTGTTCCCTAATTTCCATGGACTTTTTCATTTTCAGAAATTTTGACAAAATTTGTTACCGTAGCTCAAAATATCCTTATTTGATATATATATTTTGCACTAGGAAATTTTATGATCGTATTATTTAAAGAATTAATTTGGCCACTGAAATTGGCTAAACAACGGAATAAATTTTATGACATCGAAATTTTATTGGTGCCACGAAAATTGTGTAAGGCTACAGAAACTATAAAACCATTAAATAAATAAAAAAATACAAAATTAATAATTAGTTGAGCCTCATTTTACACGCACTGAGCCAATCATATTTTAGAAAGAAAGTGCTGATGCTGCATATGCAATATGCAAGCAATTGGACGATTCAAAAGTGCTTGTAACAAGCTTACTTGAATAAAGATATTTTCATTTCATTTCATTTCATAGGCACGTGGAATGTTGATTGTGAGATAAAATGAATGGAATAATGAAAGTCACAGTCAAAATAATATATTTTGTTATTTCAAATAAACTTATAAATTTTTACATACCACCCTTCAGGATGTCTTTTAACTGATTAGAAGGAAAGAAACTCACCAGCTAATCAAAGTAACGACTTTTACAAAAACCATTTCCAGATCAATTTTAACAAGTTTTGAAATATAATAAGTATAAAAGAAATCGCTAATCAAAATGGCTTGGGTTTTATTTCTTTGTACAGTTAGAAGTTAGTAATTTTCGGAGTACTCTTTAAATAAAGTTTACGTATAGAGAATGAAAATGTCAAGTTATATAAATAAATGACATGTTCTTGAAACGAGGACCCTAGTTCAAGATCTAAGTATACTTGATTTAAAATAAACATTCTATGAATTGCTTACTGGTTGATATAGATTTATATTAATCTTGACCTTATAATCAATATTGCTTCCGAATCAGATACGATGTTTTAAACATTTTTACTACATTATTAGCTGATTTTCTTCGTAATTATATTCCATATGATCCTAAAGTTTCCCATAAGAGATTATTGATTACATAATTGATATTCGCTCGTGAGATTAGTGTAATAACTCCTGAGAAAAGTTTTTCCTGAATCAAAACTCTAGTGTGTATTAATCCATAGTTACTATTAACTTATCAACGCCCAGATGTTTCTTATGGAGATATAAATAAACATAATAGTAAGACCAAATCCATAATTTAGTACACAGAGTTAGATAAAAACGTTAATGTAAAAATATCTTGCCAAAAAATTGTTATAACTATTGATAATAACGGCTGCGTTTCAGAAATGAAAATATATATTAGTATGATCAAGGATACCATGCCACGTCTCCACAAAACCTGGTCAAACTGTGAAATCTCCAGGAACATTAAACGTATTATGATGTTCTTGAGTATTTCGAGCGCTTGTCTTTGTTTACGTACGGAGCCGAAATTTTCACAATCTTAAGCAAACAACAGCAAAATATTAAGGTCTTTGTAATGTGGTGCTCGAGTTGAACGCTGACTGAACTGTGAAATGCACCGATGAGTCTATACTTTTAGAGCTCACAATAAAAACGCTACTTTTGTGTTAATCTTGAGTAAGACTTGATGCGTATTTTTCGTTATAATAAGTATTGAGAATTTGAAACGGTTAGCTGTTATTGTGAATACTGAAGGCAATAGATCACGTAGCTAATCACCAGCGCGATCAACTAAAGAATGATCCCTTTTCACAAATCCGGATGAGGTGCAGAATAGACCGCAAACGGTGGCAGAAATGCACTGATACTCGATTAACGACCATCAACCACGATTATTAGTCATTATGGATACGAAACGACCAAGAAAAAAAAACAAAATAATAAACAAAGAATATGCTATCGTAAAATCATAGCAAGGGGTTTTTATTAAAAACAATGTCTGTGTAAACGAAATTTCATAATCATTTTTTTAATTTAACAGATGATAAATGAATCTTTGCAAATTAATTATGGAACATTAAAAATATACAAATAGAATTTGTTTTCATAGCGTAGTCGAGGGTAATTGTTACCAATTAATGACGAATATTATGTAAATTGGGCTAGAGAACAAAAGCGCGTCTACAATAGGACGCTACTAAATGTGGTCATTTGTCACAATCACAAATTGATGAGGGACGTCCCATCTTTTGTTCAAGCGGATACCACAAGTCAGATACGAATAAAACCATACGAAGGTTTAATTATTTCATGTGCTGTAGATTTTGAACAATAAAGAACTTAAAACCTATGAAGTTAACTGTTATTGTTGTTTGGATACGAAAACAATGTTGATCCATATCTTATCTCACGGAAAATGGTTATATGGATCGGTGACAAATTTTCTTTCACTATTGGGATAGTTAAAAGAGGTATTTCTAAATTCTTCTTCAGCATTCTTGTCCACTATTGGATAATAAATTACCAAGTATCTACCCATTTCAGTAGTTACTTAAGAAAAATTCTAGATGATGTTATGAGAGTTTAAATAACTGAGATACTTGAATGTCAACCTGACGAAATTCGTGTAATATTTCATTGGGGTCAAACTTGATTTCAATACCACAAAGTCAATAACAGTCTTATTACTATGTGACTTTACATATGGTATAAATATTAAAATAACTACTCATCGAGAAGTATGAGGGACCGAAATAAAAATAGTAACAAAGCAAGCGACGATATTGATCGATGGAATGAAATCTTACACAAAGTAAAATAATTCTGCTAAAATCTTAACAACCTCTAATGAAGCAATATAATGATATCAACTGAAAACAACACCAACCATGTCGTTTAATTATCTCATATTTAAATTTGTTTGTTCACAGATTAACCGACACGGAGAAAGAACACCAGATGCTGATGAATTGTCTTTATCAAACGAACAAGAAAAACTTAAGAATTTGACGGCTTTAGATGGCCTGGAGGGATTAACAAATGTAAGACCCATCTAGCATTCAAGCTTATACTTTACGAAACCAAAATGTGTGATTCCTTATAAATTATGGAGTAATCCAAATAATTATTTGTAGTCAAACTGGATAGCAAATCCTTTTTTATTTTACACTATTATTTTTAAAGTGATTATTATATATGTTCGTTTAGGTTGGCAAGCGCAGAGCATATCAAATTGGGAAATACCTTCGCCAACGATATGGATATCAGGGCCACAATTTGGTGTCGAATTTGTACCTCCAGGATGAAATTGCTATAAGAAGTACTGATAAAGATAGAACAAAAATGACAGCTCTGGTAAAAATCTACCGTGTTTAATAGTTTTGAATTCAATAAAACCATTATAATATTAAAAGTCACACTTGCTTGACCACATATAAACTTATATTACCGTAGGTCGCAATGGCAGCTCTCTACCCACCAGAAGTCGAACAACAGTGGGATGAAGGATTAGGAAAAGTTTGGCAGCCAGTTCCCTATATAGCTGTTCCTTTAAGTGAAGACTATGTAAGTAGAACACTGCTATTATAAATCGGTGAAGATTGAAATGTTTACTTAACACTAGTGATTCCAACCATGGAAATACACGCTAATTTGATTGAGCAAAATGTCTTTTAAAATATCTTACAAGATCAAAAAGTTATTTTCCTTTAAATCGAAATATGTGTCTGCAAACAAATCATAAAGAGAAGGAAAATCACTATAATTTTATTATATTCTAAAATTGGCATTTTGTTGCCTTCGCTAACAGGAAAGTCGAATGTAACTACATACTTTGAAAATTATTTAATGGTAATACTTGATCTTCGATAAAAAGTAGAATAATTTCATCTCGAATATCTATGTATTGGACCTGTACCTATAATGAAAATTTAAACATTGTTTTATTGTACCACATACAAGTTACTTTTTTTAATTAAATTGTTTAGTATAGTTTTAGTAAAGTAGATGTCAAACTTGATATATCGGGGTTTTTAGCCATACAAATGTCTGTATATGTTACAAATAAAAAAGAAAAACAAATTTATAGTCTACAAGGTTACCATATCAAATGATGATCGCAAGAGTAATTATAATTTAAATATTATAACGATTATTTTTTTTTAATTCAATAATATTGCTTAAGTGCTAGAGTAAAATGTCAAATTTAATGATAATAATTTATTGTATTCGAGTTCAATGTGTTATTCTATTCTAATCTTAACAAAATAATAGTAATATTGGTCAAATTCCGAAAGTATGTAGATATATCGAACGTATAATGACCTAATAATCTTGTACCAACTATTTTATTTGATACCTGAGTTACAGACCACAAATTGGCAACCTTTGGCGTAGGTATAGAATAACTGAAAGACTACCTCATCATGTGTTATGACAATAAGCAAGACTAATTACTAATAACATAGCATATTAATAACTTGATCTAATTTTTTGAGTTCTTTCGTGACACTCCTTAATGAATCACTTCAGCCGACGGTTAGGGTGGGAGGGAGAATGGAAAATACATAGCCCAATAGCGCTTCTATCTTTCTAACGTGGTAAGCGGGTTTTATTTCACCTGTTCCGCTCATTATACAATCAGGTCTTTCAGAAGAATCCTCACTGTTTGGAATGGATTCTTCCGAAAGACCGGGATATCCCCTGAACGTGTGAAGAAGGAACTTGCCTACTTAAGTCTAAAGAACGGTCATCCCGGGCATTCCTTGCCGTTACCGAGGTCGGAACTATACGACAGTATGCGTTTGATCAGGTCCAGCTAATCTGGCGGTTAGAGAGGCCCAAACTGTACGGCTGTTTGGTCAACATGGGCCAATTGCAAATCGAATGAATTAAATCAATGCACCATCGATTTCCTCCTCAAACTCCTAAAATAATGATATACGTAAATACTGAGCTCGTGCTAACCACGATAACCTTGCTAGTCTGCAATCCGATAGGAGTTATATAAACAACAATAGGATGTAACCTTCGTCATCGCCATCAATATAATCAAAGAGAATAATTAAAATTAAATAAAGCAACCACTTGAACTTAGACGATAAGGACTGTTTACATTAGAATCATTTAATGATACGTATTTGCAACTGATTCTGATAAACTGTATGATGATGCTAATATGATGCTATAATTTTTATAACTTATTAAAAACCATTCACGGTAATATTTTTAAACTCACACGATTTGTATACGTTATAATTATGTGTAATCGGGTCTTGTTCGTGCATTTTTTAAAACTATTATTTACCTCGACGTTTCGGCTACGTTACAGCAGCCGTGGTCACGAGGAGATACCGTAAGTGCAGTGTGTCGCCACCTTTACGTACAATAAAATCAAGTGTAGGTTATATCTGAAAATCTGTTAAAACATTATTACCGGATTACCCACACGCCTCAACTAAAATCAGAAGACGACGCCCGCCAGTTCTCCAGTCTCCTAGTGACCACGGCTGCTGTAACGTAGCCGAAACGTCGAGGTAAATAATAGTTTTATAAAATGCACGAACAAGACCCGATTATATGTAATTATAAACCATTTACGGTGTTTCGTATTTGTACGAAAAAATGAATTCCTACAATCTTGGAATGTATGATAATCGCTAACTCGTGTCGTTTTAATTCCTATCATCTTGTATAAAGAGAATGATCAGCGAGTTCAGCCTTAAAGATGAGGTTAAAAAACTTAAGTAAGTGCCAGTCATAAGATGGGAGATCAAAAATTTTATTATCTCAAAATCCCCTGTTTTGGGATTCACGTTAAACCGTTGGTTCTGGTTCCAATAATCCAGACTGGTCCCTTGTCATGAGTTATGACCCTTTTTCCTTATCCTATTAAATTCCGTTATGCAACGAAAAATAGTTTAATTACAATGTGTGTGTGCAATACATATGTAATGTGATGTTTTGTCTCCCTCAGCTGCGTTATTACTCCAACTGTCAAAGGTTCAAGGCCTTAATGGCTACCGCAAAGCAAGAGTCAATAAACGAAGAATTCAAGCCATTCGATCATCTAATTCCTAGACTAAAAGCACTGACAGGAAGGAACTTCACAGAAGACCCGTTGCTATTTGAGACACTATTTGATCTTTTGAGGAGTCAGGTAATATAACAATTGTTGAAAAGTTATCGAGGGAAAACTGTACTTTTGCTTGTTACCAAAAATATTTTACCAGTTCATATTATAATTCAATTTTCAGTAAACATCTAAACAGATTTCAATTACTTTACCAATGATAAATTCGTAGCTAAAGAGTTCATGTATCCGACCAATACAACTTCTGTTAACAGATTGTAATTTTAAACACGCCAGACGCAATTGCAAAACGCAGAGGTTAACCTTTCACCGAAACATTCAAGGCTAACGGTGTTATTTCCGTATCATTTTCAGGTCGGCCTAGGTCTAGACATACCGGAGTGGGCTAAGCCGTTACTTCCTAAACTTGGAGAGGCTGCCAGACTGGCTTACCGTTTATACTTCAGAACTCATGAAATGAAGAAAATCGGTGGAGGTATGTATAAAAAAATGTATGATAAGATTTTTAACCTTCTTTCTCTTTTAAACTTAATATCGAAAAAAGTATAAGAATATAAAGGACTTAAACAAGGCCTGAAATAAAATGGGTTAGGAACATTTAGCACCACTTCATGTTTTTCTTCTTCCTTACTTTAACTGCAACTTCGAGAAATTTCTCTACTTGTTTTAAATATTAAAGTTTTGAATATAGAATTTAGAATTGACAGCGAAAATTTGACATTTATGGTAATTTCTGCACTTTGCAGTTTCGCTAGGTGCAATGAACTCAATCTACGAAGACATTTATATAACATTTTTATCTGAAACATATCTTTAAAACTCAAGATAAATATCAGTTATTTAAAAACCGAATCGCTAACATACCTCTTCATGTGGTTACCATTATTTCATTTTAAAAAATCAAATATAAAATAAAAAGATTTCATTTTTTTATTTTATTTACCGAACAAAAAATATTCCTTCTAAAATTAATCCCCCCGTACATTTTACTGACAATTTTTTTACCACTTTCGTGAAATGAAAAAGTGAAGTTTAATATTATTTAAGATTCTTTAAGTCATTTCATTAGTCGTAAATGTGTCTGTATCTAATTTGTTTAAATCCTATAACATGAAGATGCAATATGTGTTATTATTTTTTTAAATTATTTTTTTCAGATAATTTTCCAACCACTAATTCTTTGAGGTCTTTTAGATTACTTTTATAACACAAATATTATTACAATATTTAGCATCTTATGCAATATTGGTTGCTAAGGGTTAATTTAAATTACATTTACATTGTACATTATTTTAACAGGCGTTCTACTTAACAACTTCATGAGTTTAGCATCAGACATAGCAGCTGGCAAGTCTATTACTAAACGACTAAGGCTATTCTCAGCACACGATTTCAACATCGGCGCTTTGATGGAAGTATCGAAGGTGAAAAGTGATCAGAGTATACCTGAGTATGGGGCAGTATTCTCATTGGAGTTGTACAAATCAAGAAGCACTGGAGAATTGAGTGTAGTGGTGAGTATGATATTTAATGGAAAGTGAGATCGTTCTGTCTTTAGAAAATATTAAAAGTCAAAGTATTAATTGCATGTCACATTACAACTAATGAAGTGGCACACATTCATCTACAGATATTTAGAAAGGTGCGCCAGACATATTTCAGAGCAGGCAAAATAACATTCTCCTGTACCTTGTATATTCCATACAGTGTCTATTAACGTACTACAGACACGTACAGACTCCAACAGACACGGCCGTTGTCTGTGGCTATATGCCGGGTAGTGTAAAAATATGTGTAGATATAAACGAACCCTAAAGCCCGATGTCTATGCTAGCCATTAGACAATCAATCTGAATCGCGATCAGATAAAAGTTGCAAATGAATGACAAAATTCAAATTATATGGATAAAATGTGTTTCAATGTGGTTGGTGTCAATTAACACATTAATTGATTAAGATCACGGATTCATTTCACACCAGATCATTTAATGGCCATTAAAACTATAGAAAATCAGAACTTTTCGTGCCTTAATAGGAAACAGAAACGGAACTAAAAAATTACTCGCAAATGTGTCTCTTCATCTATCTATCACAGTACATCGCCTAGAATCTACTGGATGATTATGATTAACGGATTTTTATTCTTCTCACAGCCCGTATATCTACCTCAAGCTGGTGAGTCAACGGCGAAAATTCTTCATTTCCACGGCTGCGAATTAGAAGATTTCTGCAGTTTCACCAAATTCCAAGAGAAGACTAAGGAGTACCTCCTGCCGGAAAAGGAATTTTACAGCCTATGCAACATTAAAACTGAATTATAATTCGGGATAAAGTATTACTAATTACAATAGGATTAAAGTTATATGTCTAGATATTTATAATACTTAATTTAGCTGTTTCATATGCCCGAAAGGGGGATGTACATGCAATCCTTTGTTACCTAAGGAAAGACGTGACGTACAGACTCGGGATCACTATCCGCATGAACCCACCCTAAAGGGCTAGTCAATAGGTGGATGATGTACTCATTAAATCTGGGGCGATCCTCTATGTTGGGGAAGACTGTGTGAGCCCCTTATTGGGACAAACCCCTTAGCCAATCGAGCTACTGCTCCACCATTTCAGCTCGAGACCTTACTTCAGTAGTGTTTAACTTGTCAATCGTTGGAGATTAAAGTAGATAAATAAAAAGTTGTTCTATACGAGAACCTCCGCCTCACTGAACACTTGGAATGCTTCCAGGACCCAGTGGTTAAGAAGCATTGCCTTACCGAGACTACTGAATTTTCCAAGCCCTTGTTACTTTCACTGTGTCTTCATCATCGTTATACATTATAAATTTTGATTAAGATGATAATGTGTTCTAAATGTTATTTTTTGGTTGACACTGCGTCGACGACGCCCCATATGTTTATCTTATAAGTAAAATGAAGACTAAATTATTAAATCTAGAGTTGAAAACTGTAAGTTTCTGTTACATACGATCGTTACTGAACCTTACTCAAAAGTCAATTAGGTTTATATTTTATAAGTTCAAATAGGTTTTCGTATGAAATGCAGAGTTTATAATTATGTTATGGAATAAAAGAATATATTTGCAGTTATTCAATGCCTTCACTATTTACCAATAAATATTTTAAACCATATTAAAAATTTCAGTTTTGGTAAGGGCAGCACATCAAGTTACTAATAGATGTTAAATCGACCCCAATTGACTTTAAGCCTTAATTTGTTGATAATATAGTTTAAAACTGATTACAGGTATTTGGATTTTGAAATAAACTGGTGTGCTGATGTACCTTCCTTTTGTAGTCAAATAGTAGTTATTGTGAGTAGATATCAGATTACATACATTTGCATACAATGGAATTCCGAACGCTATTTATAAAAAAAAATTAAAATACGATTTTGACTTAATTAGTTTTGAAATGAGAGTGTTCTATATAAATTATAGTATGAAAAATAATATGTAAAAAGATATAAATTATATTGTAATATCTGTGATAAATATGATACAAAACGACAAAAAAAATGGATTTCGTTTAAGCTGAAATATTTCTTAATATTTGGCCTAATTATGAAAATAACGGTCCCAATTTGTTTGTCGTGAAGTATTTAATATGTTCGGTATAAGTATTTTAATAAAGAATTACCTTTAATATTTTTCCTGTTTCTTTTTTACTTTGATATAATAGCAAAAGTCTTTAAAATAATTCACAATTTCCTACTAGATAGCGCTATATTGTTTCTACAACGTGGTAAGGTTTCGCTTGTTTTTGTTAATATAATTTTATAGTGGCTTTTTGATATAACTCTACATAATATCCAAGGTCTCGGGTTTGATTCCTGAAAGGGCTAATGTAGATAACGAACTGTTCTATGGTGGCTATTGTTATGATGCCTTCGTGGATTAATATCAGTGTTGCCGAACCTACGGCAAATCCAGTTTCATACGGCAATCGAGCTCTTAAAAAGAAAATTATACATACGGCAGAGGCATCATTTCCGTACATAGAGTATGTATCTTATATTTTGTACAAGTGGTTTAGGCTTCATAATGTTGGATCAGAGCAAATTTATGATGTTATATCATAGTTAATAAATAAATAACATTTAATTTAAAAATAAATACTTCCATTCGGCCACACCAATAATAAAGATTTTTAATGAAAAAATTCTTCAAACAACCCCTAGAGCCTGTGAGCAGTAACAAACCATATTTAATTAAAGAGTGTATTGCAAAATATCGTGTACCCTAAGGAACAAATTCTGAGCCCATTTTTACGGATATCAAGGGAAAATAATGGCGATACTGATAAACAAAGCGATAGATTTAGACGCCGAGGAAAGCCGAGACACTTTCCACGACCAGTTTCAATGAAATAAAACATTATTTTTGAAGTAGACTCTGATTAACGCATTATAAGGTGATAGCAATGCGTTCGAATATAATTTATATAGCTGACAAATGAATTAAAATTTATATTACTTCCTGTTGACCTGGAACTATGAAATTTGGCAAGAAGCATCGTTTTATACTGCAAATTAAGGTAAATTCAGAAAACATATACATTTGTAATTTAATTATGAAAAAACTAGCTTCCGCCAGCGGCTTCACCCACATGATGCCCTGAGTAACTGTTTAGAGGGATAAATAGTTGCCTTTATTTTTTATATTTGATCATTTTCACATTCACTATACTGAAAAATATTCTTAATGAACAATGCTAAAAAATGCTCTAATCGATGAAATGCTAAGGCACCCTTCGTAGTTCCCTTCGGTAAAAAAAAAACACTCTGCGTATGGGATCGAATCAAAGTCATAGGACGAATGGGCCATGGCACAGTATGGCTATTAAAGACCGCTGAAGCAGCCGGTATGAACGGCTTAACGTAGTTCCGGCTGCATAATAAATTTTTGGTCACCCATCTTTTGACTGACCATTGCGAAAGTCGCTTAACAACCTTGTCGCAAACGCGTTAACCACTGTGCCTGTGAACTCCTCGATATTGATACTTCACGTTATTTCTTCAATTGTTTACCGATATTAATGAATCTCTCTAGTTCGAAAGGGTACTCTAAAAGGGTCCCATGAAAAATTCATGAGATTCGGATCAGTAGTTTTTTGTTAGCCTGATAATCGTATATTCAGCGATAAGTTTACACTTATATTTTCGTGATATATATCTTTATTGATTGTGTTCATTGTGAATCTCTTTCCATGAATCTATATTTCTATGAAAATAATTGAAATCAAAAGGAAGAAAATCTTTTAGACGTTTAAAATGAATTGCAGAAGTAAATAAAATGTACAAGAAATCCTTCTGAGCTTCCGAGATGCTACAAAAGAAGTTCCTCGAAATTCTATTAAGAGTTTTGAGTGTTCCATGCCTGTTATGCATGTATTTACTTAAATTATCAACACAAATAAAATCTTTTAGATATCTGACGTTTAAAATGAATTTCAGAAGTAAACAAAATGTTCATGGAATCCTTCTGAGCTTCCGAGATGCTACAAAAAAGTTCCTCGAAATTCTATTAAGAGTTTTAAGTGTTCCATGCCTGTTTTGCATGTATTTACTTAAATTATCAACACAAATAAAATGCTAGTAAAATAATGTATGTATTATTATATGCGAATGATATTTATGATCTTGACAGTTCCCTTGTAAAAGATGCTATTTATGTTTTTGGAATATAAAACTATGGTCAGTTTATGACGCGGTTTTATTAACGCTTAGTACCTTCTAGGACGCAAGAACATCGGCTTGTTCCTTGTTCAATGCCTCATTTAGAAATACTCCCTTTTAAGAACAAGCATGTCTGTCTAACAGTGCATCTAACTTACTCCAAAATTATTTAGTCGATTGGGATGAATTGATTTTTAAACTTTTGTGGGGATTTGAACATGCGTAACATAACGAACTAAAAAATGTTTTGTCTGCATTCAAATGTCACTTTTCCCGGATGATTCTCGATGCTCTCGGCCCGAGAAAGTGTCATTTGTCAGCGAAAATTGTAACAACTCCTAAGGAAGCACAGTAGAGAGGCGAAACACAAGTACGATGGTGATTGATGATACTTACGTAACTTATTGCTGGTTGTGCTTGGACATTTGCAAAGCGGGTCTTGCAAATACTCGGACATTCACCAGGCCCTCCCTGCAGTCACAACATCCTGCTCTTTTCAGGGCGAGAAAGCCCAGATTTTAGACTTAAGGTGCATTTCCTTTTGGGAATAGATAGTCCATACACGGGGGCTGGATGCAAATCGGTCCTTGCTGGATTACAATCCCTTCTCCCAACAGTGAGGATACATCGCAAGAGTTTGGTTGGTATACCACTACGACTAGTCTTCGAGCGAATCCGTATAGATAGACAGTATCACTCACAAGCAGGAACAGTTCATAAATCATTTCCCTTACGACACAAAATCAATTGTTGCTAATATACTTGTTAAATTGATTGGGTATTCGCGTGATTTTTGAAAATGTCATTACTTCTGTTAGAGCTGGTGTTTCTTGCTCATTTTTCTTATCAGCCAAAAGACGTCCTGAAAAAATATTGAACGAATCAAAAGTACGTCTAAGAATTCAATTTGAATAAAGATGATTTTGGCTTTGTCTTTGGTCTTGCAGTTTTCGACTGAATGTGGAAGTTGAAAGATATCGTAGTTTCACAGTTATAAAATGGATAGCGTTAAATTTATCTAATCGTTTCATACATGTAATCCTGCTCTGAAAAGTCCATGTTTTCAATTCAAAGGCAAATTTCTCAACGTGTGACGGGGGTCCGCCGCGTGACGTCATAATGCATAATGGCCACCCTCGTCACACTTCAGTTATTATACACGGCCATTGTCAACTGGTTGATGGTCAGATAAGAGGACATACAAAATTTTTGACTGACTACAAATACTTTAAAAAGTCCCAATCTTCACACCGATGTCATTTGTTATTAAACCTTGCATTAGCTGTTTGCCTGCGACTTCGCACGCCTAAATTATAGTCAATGTCATTCAAGTATGTTGTAACTTCATGTAAGGAAAAAATAAAACTGTTCCTGTAGTTGCAGAGTCTATTCAATACAAAGAAAGGAACAATCAAATCTTTCATGATATTAGTATAGATCATTCTCATTTAATATACGGAATGGGAGGTTATATTTCGATCTCGATGATCTGCTTAGCCGAGTGGCTGTCGGATTCTAGGTATCATCATCTCTGAGGTTCCAGGTATGATTGCCGCTTGGGTCAAAGATGTAAATTAATTTTTCTGATATTGTCTCGAATTTTTGTGTTGTGATGCCTTCGTTGTTTCAGACACTCCATAATACGAATGCTTTAGCTACTTATCTAAGTCATGGATGTGATATTGTCTCATATTCATTTATATAATACAAGCTTTCCGCCAGTGGTGTCGCTCGCGTGGTCCTGTATTATAGATATAAACCTTATTTTTGAATCATTTCGTATATTTATGAAACTCGCAAAAAAATTGCTCACGGGCTTTTTAATTGATGTTACCTAACTTTATTAATTAATGTCATTTTTTTCAATTTTAATTGTCTTGCTCGTTTATAGTCAAATATTATAAAATTCCTAAAACAAAATTAACAGCAATATCACAATAGCGAGTTGCTAATAAGAAACCGTCAGGCGTTTATCCGTCCTTCAACTAAAATAACCATATAGAGTAGTCGGGTATTACATTGAATGGATTCTTTGACCTAATTGTTTTGGGGTCTTACAACGAGCTGTTTTGTCATGGTAGCTTATGAGAAGACGTATAAAGAGCCTAAGTGATATTATTTTCCTTATTTCTTTTGCCAAAACTTGTTAAGTGGTACTTTAGTACTTTCCAGGGTTGCCAGAACTGCTGCACAGTAAATTGCAGGCCCCACACTAAATTGTAGAAAGGTTCAACTTATTATGATAAAAGACAAACAAACTTAGGTACTTATTACACAAACGGACACACTGCTTTTGGTACTGAATAGCTATCTGAATGATTGTATCACCACAAGACCAACAAATTGTTTAAGTTACCATCTCAATGTTGATTATATACAAAACAATTATATGTAATAAAATAATATTAATTATAAATCCATTTATATTTATAATAAAAATAATATTTATATTTATTATAAAATGTCTATTTTATTTCCAAAACACAACTGAACTCGTTGGGAGATTTAATTTTTCTTCATTCTTTAATGCATGTATTTATGCTATTCATCATTAAGCATTGCGTAATGCCCTATGCTCTTAATCCTCATTAACCATTATCTGAAAAAAGAACTACTATTTTAAACCATGAGTACCATGATATTTTATCATCATAAATAAAATGTATTATAGCTAGAATACGTACAAGATTAATTTCAGAGTAACCTTGCTTTTCCCGGCGGGAAGAAGTAAATTAAACCTAATAATAATCTATACAACCTTCTAGTGACGTCAATGTTTATGTATTCCATCTCTTTTTTCATTAATATACTTAACAGTAGCAAGAATATAGGAGCTCTAGAGTGAAAATTCTGTTTGTCGAAGCATTTCCTATATTATGACATTTTTATAGCAATTAATTAAAGTCGTACGAAGTTTGATACATGATGGGATTGTCTTTTCTCTATTAATATTATAAAGAGGCAAGA